GTAGGAGAAGCCCCTGTCCCCCACTGAAAATCCAAGACCCCAGGCCAGACTAAGGGCAGAGATGGATCCCTGAGCTGGCTTAGTTTCAAGGGGTTTTTGCTAACTGTGCTCCCTCCTCACCCATCCACTCTGCTGATTCTCCTAGTGCCCTGGCTGGTGCTCAGTGAGATTTTTCCTGCTGGGATTCGAGGACGCGCCATGGCTTTAACTTCTAGCATGAACTGGGGTATCAATCTCCTCATCTCGCTGACGTTTTTGACTGTGACCGGTAAGAGCTCTGTTTTTCTCAAATATCTTTTGTCCTCTGACTACACATATTTCAGAAGCACGCTCACCTCAGAAGCATCGTTTCGTGGCCATTTTAGAACATACTCAGAAGTAAAGAGAATAGCGATGAAGCTGAGGTGCCCATCACCCGATAGCAGTTTTCAATCGTATTGTATTTATAATCCCCCTTGCTCTTCTCCCGGCCAAATTACTTTGAGTCATATTGCACACAGAATGTCATTTTGTGTGTAAAATTTCAGCATGGACCTCTAAAAGAGAAGACATTCCCCAAAATATAACCATATTGATTGAAAAAAAAAAAAAACAAAAACAGAAAAAACTGGTTGTTAGCATTGACTAAACCTCTCCTGAGATTACATACATGGAGAGGTGCCCTTTGCCTTCACACATGCATGTGTGCATACACACACACATACACACACTTCTCTCTTTCACCTACAGTGGGGTATAGAGAAAAAGGAACACAAAAGAAAGAATGGAAATGATGAGGGATAAAAAAGATGACCGGGGCTGGTGGGTGGCATGGTGGTTGGGGTGCTGGACTCCCATGTGGCTGACCTTGGTTTGAGTCCTGGACCTGGCAGCTTGCTTTCATGTTTACCCTCTCTTTCTCTGTCTATCTCTGGTCAAATTAAATAATAATAATAATAAATAAAATTAAATAATTCTTTTTAAAAAAAAGATGATAAAGTCTCCCCCAGAAAGGTTAGTTAATATATGAGCTAATGAGCAGTCAGAAGTTCTCCTACATTGGCTTTTAGAACAAATGTTAGGAAAACAGACCCACTTTAGAAAAAAAGAGAGAGAGAAAGCCTGGAATGATCTAAGTCCTTGAGATGACATTTAATTTGAATACTTGAAATTCTCTACTTTTTGAAAAACAGTGCTACAAGCATAGACTAGAGAGATCTAAAAGACATGACCAGAAAGCCCTTAGATCCGTTTTCTTGATAGATATATGTGTGTGTATATATATATATATATGTGTGTGTGTGTGTGTGTGTGTGTATATATATATATGAGATTCTTGCTAGAGGGCACGTGCGCTCACTGGAGAGACAAAGAAACAGAAAGTGAAAAATCACTACCCAGGGGATGGCCACACTGCAATCCCTTCATTCTCCTCTTGGGATTTTGGGCACGCATACACATGCGCCTGGCATGAGTTTTATGCTACCAGGTCTGGGATTCAAACCGTGGTCAACCATGTGAGAGTCCAGCAACATAACCATTATGCCATCTGCTGGTCCCACCCTTGGATCCATTTTTTGGCAGTCATGGCCACATCAGTAAGGCATTCCAGACAGACAAACACTGCAGTAATCACCACACAGCTGCAATACTGCATTCAGCTCTGAGTCAAATATTTTGAGGAGATTGTTTAAAAATTGTGTGTCCACCCCAAGGCAGATGACCCACATAAGGAATGCATATAACGTAACCTGTGCTCGGGAAGAACTGGTGGAATAGACGAGAATGTTTGGCTTTCACAAGAGGATAGTTAAGGAAGAGATTGGGTGCATTTGGATATTCTGAATCACTGTCATGAAGAAGGGGTGGGGAGAGCTGATTCAACGTGCATCATGTCCACACCCACACAGAACCCCTGAAAGGCAACTTAGGCTCTGAGGAAGGAATAACGTTTTAACAAAGAGAACTGTCTCTCAAGCCTGTGAGCAGCTTTGTCAAGTGGTGAGTTCTCTGTTAGGCAACTGCTCTGAGAGAACTGGGGACAAGTTTAATGAGATTTTTGGGATTTTTATAATTCCTGTATTGGAGTTTTATGCCTTAAAGTGGGAAAATGGACCAATTCTACAAGCACTTTATTTTACTTACTATTCTTGGAGAGATTTTTACTGTAGGGCCCTCGCACTCTCCAGAGAGGCAGAAAGACAGAAAGTGAGAAATAGCCCCCTCCCTGCCAGGGAGGATGACCATGTCCCAGTCCCTTCTTTTCCATTCTCCTCCCAGGATTTTGGCCACATACATACATGCACCCAGCATGAGTTTTAAGCCACTGGATCCAGAACTCGAACCGCAGTCAACCATGTGGGAGTCCAGTGACTTAACTACTATGCCACCTGCTGGCACTTTATTAATCAATCAGTTGGGCAGAACCCTTGTGGACAGCGAGAAAAGCAGAGATGGGGGTTAAATTAAAATCACTAAAAGAACCTTCTTCCTGCTTCTTTTCATCTCAGCACAGCTCACTGACAAGTGGTTTCTACACTTGGATGCTTTCTGTTGCTGCATTTACAGCATTTACAAAAAACTCAGTCAACTTTCCTGTCTGACCTGCCTTGGCTTGTGACTGCAGCTGTTATCGGCTATTTGCAAACTTGCCTGCAGTGGATCCCGTCTATGTTCCAAAAGAACCAGCTCCCTTGTCACTACTGCCTGCATGCTGGACTTTCTGGAGCTGAGCTAACACAATGCCAATGCAGATATAAGTGCACGGGGCCACCCCTGGCCAGTGAATGTACCTTGAGCTTGGTCAGTGACTACAAGGGGGCTCTATCTTTGGCTGGAAGTGATCAGAGGGAAAACAAGGTTGGCAGGTGAATACCGCAGAGTTCTTGGGGGATCCTGCTTCTTTGCCGAGACATTGCAGCAAGCTGATGTCTTTCCTTGCCCATTATCACCTTTTTCTTTGAGCCCAGAAGCAACACTATGAATAAACTGCCAGCTATTCCAAAGTGATGAAATAATGCCAACATGAAACGATTTATTCAAATCAGAGTAAAGAAAGGTGACCTCATTGCAAGAAAAGTCCATCTGTACAAATATGTCATTAAAAACTCCCACCGAGTTCACAAACAGGATCAAGGCAACACAAAACACATTTCTAATCGATTCCTTTTGTCCTTTATAGACCTCATTGGCCTGTCGTGGGTGTGCTTTATATATACAATCATGAGTCTAGCGTCTCTGGCCTTCATTGTTGTGTTTATACCTGAGACGAAGGGATGTTCTTTGGAACAAATATCAATGGAGCTAGCAAAAGCGTAAGTATTATGTGCATGGGTTTTCTCAGCAATACTCTGGTCAGAGCAGCAGCTTTCATATACAGCTAAGTAGTAATATCTGAAGATGTTTTGGTTATTCCCTTTGGTGTAAGACCTTGTCTCCATGCATAGTTTTCCTGCCTAGTCTTTAATGTGGGTGATTCATCCGAAGCAGAGTAACCATTGTTTCCCCATCAGTGAATCTTTTTATTTTTTTTGAAACATTTTTTAATTAATTAATTTACCTTCATTTCCTGAGCATTGTCACAGCATACAAAATGTGATTTCCCATCCAGAATACACTGCAGAGTGGCTTAATCATACATGTTACCATCAATAATTTTCCATTTCTAGTTTCATATGTGTGTGTGTGTGTGTGTGTGTGTGTGTGTGTGTATTTTACCCCTATTTCTCACCCTCTGCCATTTCCCACCTTCTTCCTATACTATCTCAAGTGACTACATTTGTTTTCCACTCCTTTTTTTTCTCATATTTTATTGATTCACAAAATTTCTGAATTAATCTAACTACTTTCAACAGCAAGTTCAGCTGGTATATACATATCTGTGAATACGTGTCTGACTTTAGGTGTGAAACTCTGAGTAGAATGAATATACTATAAGGTAGCACCTAGCTGATGCTACATAGCTTACTATGGTCATTAAATAGGTATTTTAAATGTATTTTTTTAATTTCAAGAAAAGCTGTTTTAGTTTTAATAAATAAAAAAAAAAACCGCTAAGGAATTTTGCTTAAAACTTAAAGCCAGGAAACAGGTTAGGATTTTGTTCAAATTAGTGGGTACATGAACCTATCAGCAGCTCAAGAAAAGACAAAAATCCCTAAAACCAGAAAACAAAGCCTAGAAGAAAATTGGCAATGTTTTAGTCAAAAGTCATAAAATGCTGTTTCACCAGTTCATGTACTTAATCTATCTTCTGTTGTGGTTTGATCTTCCTAATTAAATTTGGGGATATAATATTCAACTCCAGACTTATATTTTAGGGAAAATTACATTCTTTGGTCCTTTTCTTAGTTTTTACAACTCTTTCCATCAATGACCACAGAGCTTCTAGCTATCTAGCTTTTCTACACAGATTTTGTGTGAGGTTTTTGAGTACGTCCTAAGACATAATGGTCACCTTAGACCAGGTCTGTGGGCCCTAGTCTGGTTGTCTCTATCAGACTTGTGCCATCTCTATTGGAGCTTTAAACACTTACTAAAGCTACAGTTAGCAGGGGACCAGCAGATGGCATAATGGTTATGTTGCTGGACTCATGTAGTTGGCCATGATTTGAGTCCCTCACACCAAGTATATGTGCATGGGTGCCCAAAATCCAAAGGGAAGAATGGAGGAGAAAGGAGTGTGGCATGGCCATCTCCCCTGAGGAGTGATTTCTTACTTTCTGTCTCTCTAACAAAGTGCACGTGCCCTATAGGAAAAAAATCTCTCTGAAACAAAAGCTGCAGCTGGAAAACTCTTGGGCTGCAACATCAATTGTCCTAAGTATAGCTCACTCAAGGTAATTTAAAGAGAGATCTTATCTTACATACAAGATAAAATTTCTTATATGAATAGGCATGTTAAAAAGTGCTAAATAAGTTTCACATGGAAGCTTTGTTAAACAACCTAAGTGAGAAGTGGCTATGTCTACCTCCCCTTTTCTTCTATTGTAGTAACTCTAATTGACAAAACTGTGCCTTGGGGGAAGAGATGAATAGGTATCAATAATTTGTTACTCTTCCTAGGATTAAGATTAAATCATTTCACTTAGAGATGTAGGGATGGGGGCCAGCAGGTGGCATGGTGGTTAAGGCACTGTATTCTCACATGACCAGCCATAGTTTGAGTCCCAGACCCAGCAACTTGAAAATCACACCTGGCTTGTATGCAAGTGTGCATGTGGGTCCAAAATTATAAGAGGGAAATGGAAAAGAAAGGATTATGGCTGGCTATCCTTCCTGAGGGGGGGAGGGATTTCTCACTTTCCTTCTCTCTGTCTCTCTTCAGTGAGTGCACATGCCCTAGGGCAAAAACATAAAAAGGAAAAGAGAAGAAAAGAAATGCAGGAATACTTGTTCTTGGGTTTTAACATAATGACAAGAAACTGCATTTTCATAGTTCGTGATTTTAATTTTATAAATACTTGTAAGACACTAGAGAGAATTACTGGGTGGTTGGAAAAGTCATGATGCATTTTTGCATAGAGAAACCGAAAAAGTACGTCATGGCTTTTCTGGCAACCCAATGTAGCAATATGATTACAGAAGCTGTAGGCAAAGTAATTCTGCTTTTATCTGAAGGAAGAATAAAGCTGACAGGTAAATTGATGGTAGGTATGTATTTGCATACATGAGGAGACTTCAAAAAGTTCATGGAGAATGGAATTAAAATATGAGTTAATTTTGGTGCAAAAAAATTTGAAATCCATCATGGTTTTTTTTCATAATATTCATTTTTTTCCCATGAAAATTTAAAACACCTCTTGTATATTTATATTTATATTGGCCAGACTACTGTTAATCCTGGTTGATTAGAGAGTATCATTAGTAGGATTGTGAAATTTTTTCACTTTGTACTTTATACATGTTTAAAGGTCTTAAGTTTTAAAAAAACATTTTATGTTAGTAAGTAGAAATAAATATTTCTCAGTTCAAGCCATTAGGTAAGTATAAAATTATAAGGTTAATTTTTGTTTGATACAGGTGAGTTCCTGTTTTTAAAAAATAAAAATAAGGGACCATCAGATGGCATAGTGGTTATGTTGCTGGATTCCCACGTGGTTGACTGTGGTTCAGTCCAGACCCAGTGACTTGAGTCTGGACCTGGTGGCTTGAAAATCATGCAGGGCACATGTGCATGCATGCCCAGGATCCTAGGAGGAGGAGGGAGAAGGAATTGCGGCATGGCCATCCTCTTTGGGGGATGTCTTCCCACTTTCCTTCTCACTGTGTCTGCCTCTCTCTCTCTGGTGAATGCACATGTACTAAGGTAAAACCTTCTAAAAAGAAATTTTAAAAAATGAAAATGAAAATGATTCATTAACAATGAGAAACATAACTGTCAAGAAGAAAGGATATACTGTGGACCTGACAGGTGCATTGCCTGGTTCTATGCAAGTCAAAGTCAAATGAGAGAATTTTTTTGGCAAGCATAAAATCTGAACAAGACTATTAATTACAACTACACAATTCAAAACATTAATGGCCTTAGTCTTTGATAACTCAATGTGTGCATCTGTAAATTGGCAACGCTCTTGACAGATTCAGGCTTTTTTCTGAACAAAGATGCCAGGACACAATGACATCCAAATAGATTGATCTTCCTTTGTTTTTTTCTCTTTTGCCTATGTTGCATCAGTTAGTTAGCTATCACTGTGTAACAAACCATCCCAAATGTAATGGCTGAAAAGAACATTTTCTTTGCTTGTCTTTGCTTGTCTTTTTGTTTTGTTTTGTTTTGTTTTGTTTTGTTTTGTTTTGTTTTGGTATAAAGGCAAGAGGGCCAGCTGGACTGCAAGGTGAGTAACCACATGGGTGGCAGTAGATGCCATCAGGCAGTAGGGAGCTTCATTCTCTTCCACATGGCTTCTCATCCTGCAGGAGGCAAAGGCAGCTCCCTCACAAGTCTGACTCAGGGAAGCGCCCCAAGAGACTGAAGGCAGAAGGTGCAAACTACTTGAGATTTACATTCTGGAATTCCCATGGGATCATTTCCACCACTACTGATTGTCAATACCAAAGTTCCAAGACCAGTCCAGATTCAAGGGGTATAGAAATAGACTTACTGTCTTGATGGGACAAGGAGCAAGTAACTTTTGACCATCTGTAATCTACCACACATGCCCTTTTTTCTTGAATTCTCTTTAACTCCTATGAAACAATCTTCTTCCCCAGACCGCCTTCAGCCTTTCACTCTTCCCTCATTTCTTTCTCCACTCCTGTGTTACAGGTATCTTTGCAGATTTAGCCCTCCATGCTCACACCTTAAGAGTCAACGTAAATCCTTCAAGCCCTGAGTACCTAGATCCCTGGAAAGTGTTCATTCTCTTTCCAGGATTTCCAGTATTTTCTAGACCACTTCTCTTCCGTTCTGCCTTATTAGCTAGCACTTTTGTGGTTTCACCTCTTTAACTAATTTATAAGGCTTTTGTTTTCAGGAATGCTCCATCCGTTATCTTTCTTGTAGAACCTCTACAATGCCTAGCTTTATGTTCGATTTAATGATTGGTTTCATTGACTTCGTGGAAAGTACACCTTGTGTATATGCACTTTACAATTACCCATCTACTAACTCAGGGAAGAAAATTCCTTTAAAAATAGTTTGGTTAAAATCCTTGTGAACACTACTAAAAGAGAGAGAGAAACAGAGGCAGGGAAAAATTGTAATAAATCAATGGTGCAAAACTAAGGGCCTACTTTATTATTACTCCCTATTATACTCTTAAAAAAGTCTTACTTGAAAGCTGAATGCTCTGTCTGAGCTAAGATTAAGAAATCCTCAAATCTGTCTTTCATATGGGGTTGTCAGAATGTAGGAATTATAAACCAAATTTTAAAAATTAAAGAACTTCAACTCTTTCTAACTAGTGGGTTTTCAGAAAAAGGAATTTGAAAAGAACATATTAGGAGCCAGCAGGCAGCATGGGCGTTAAGGTACTGAACTCCCACGTAGCAGACTGTGGTTGGAGTACCAGACCTGTCAGTTTGAAAATCACACTGGGCACATGTACGTGAGTTCTCAAAATCCCAAGAGAAAAATGGTGGAGAAGGGACTGTAGCGTGGTGGCCATGGCCCCTCAGGAGTAATTTCTCATTCTCCCTTTCTCTCTGTCTATATCTGTCCCTCTGGCTAGCACATGCACCATATGACAGACAGACAAATTTTAGGTGGCCCAGCCATGGTGGTACGAGCACGATAGTGTTGCTGGGCAAAGACTGAGGCTACACGGAAGGACTGGTTCAGTTCCAGGCCCAACCTGAGCAGGGCAGGAACACA